CCACTGGATGTTTTTCACCTTATGCAAGTTTTTAAGATCAACAAATGTGGACCATGCTGGGCAAAAATCATCCAGGGAAAGTGCCTTGGATATATAATATTATGGCCAAGTGAGGTCCGCTCAGGCAATCAACCCATTGTTAAGAGATATGTAGTAGGTCATAGTATGTGATATATGAATAATTAGTCATAGTAAGGTGCCAGATAATGTTATATAGGCATAGGTGGCTAGGGCTAAAGGACCGTAAGTTGTATATGAATAGGCCATGTTCAAAAAACATTCAGGGAAAGTGTCTTGGGATACTTCAAAGTATGCCAAATACGGTCCATCTGGGCAGAAACAACAGCAGAAGATACTAGATCCGAAACACGAGTATTTGGGAAAATACTAGATCCGAAACACGAATATTTGGGAAAATACTAGATCCGAAACACGAATATTTGGGAAAATACTAGATCCGAAACACGAGTATTTGGGAAAATACTAGATCCGAAACACGAATATTTGGGAAAATACATATACGACATACCAAGTGCAAAAAAAATAAAAACCACATTATAGCAATGACACGAACACATTAACCAGACCCGTCAAAAAAAAAAACAAGGTGATTTAATAATTATGTCTTGATCCCAAAAATCAATGTTTTTAATATATACACACACACACGAAACTCGAAGAAAAAAATATTAAAGCAAGACACATCAGTGCTTTATACATAGAAATTCGGTTTTTTAGCGTTATTAGTTCGAAATCCGACCATACGGTTTATAGGCCAAAACTTCAATATGATAAGCTTATCATTAAAAACACGCACTTTCAAAACTATGTCAAAACCTTTGAAACAAACCTAGCAAGCAGCACGTCTGTATCACGTGATTATTATCCCCATACCAACTGTATATTGCCTGTTCTCTTCGGTAAGCATTACACGTCCCTGGGACAATATAGATTGTGCAATTATAACCGTAATTATACTTAAATAAATACCTTTCTTATACATAGTTCTTGAATATAATCAGGTTTATTGAAAAAACTTAGAAGGCACATTAATGTCAAAGGTTATATCGTGATACACCGATGGCTACAAATGATACTTCGAGTAATCATTAGAAGGTTTTATAAAATTATAACACCTCTGATACGTTTTCAATGTAAACGTCGCCATTTTTTCTCCAAAACTTGCAATACGCGAATATCTAATTCAAAGTCAGTTACAATCTCATACAAATATCCAAATACTGTCATAAAAATACTCATACGTGGCACCATCTATTGGTGCTCTTAAAAATTATTTTTAACAATGCAATACTAAAGCCTTTCGACGTTGTTAAATTTTGGACTTATCAAATTGATATGTCAATCAAGTCTTTTCAACGAATAAATCAAACACATTGCACACATAAATAACTTTAAGTTAATAACGATGCAAACAAGTTTGTAACAAAACGTTAAAAAGTATTAGAATTTAACTAGCTGTTCCGAGTAAATTAAATTTACGTCCAAAATATGAGAATTTAACATTAGAACATTTCAAGCGCTGTAATAAAAATGAATAAAAATACTTTTATATTTTGATCATTGAAAACTTTATGACAATTATCAAACTAAAATTTAAAAAGTATATTTTTAAATCTGGAACCTTAACTTGCCGTAAAAACGAGAAAACAAAATGCATTTGTTATTTGATATTAACTTAAATTTTAAAGGAAACCAGTAACCACCCACAACTTTAGCCAATTGTGACTTTTCCCAGTAGTTCAAGAAAACTAAAACTATTATTTCCAAATAGTACTAACCAAAAATATTTATTTTATTCTGACTACATTAGTTTGGTTTATTTCAATGCAAAGCTACACACAATGGTATATCTGCACTCGCAAGGAATTCAACCCCGGATTTTAACGTTGGATGTCCATAAACTTTCCACCAGTAAAGTAAAACCAAGTATAATAACTTATTTTATTTTTGGATAAGGGAATTTTTTATTTGGTTATCAAACAATTGAATGATATGTTTATTAATGATTGTGGGCAATTTACCTAAAAATAAAAATAGTTTTCCACATGAAAAGGTTTAGGTGGGGGCTTATTCCTCTCAATTTGTCTTATATTGCAAACTATTTACAAATTAGCACTCAGCTGTACATAACCAACATGTTTAAGTCATCATTTATATCCTAAATCATTAAACCAATTAAATATATTTGTTTCGAAATATTTCACTGACAAATTTATCTGTTTCACACTTAAGAGTGAATACTTCAAACAGTCATTATCTAAAAGGAATTATGAACTAAAGTGTCAAACAGTACAGGACAAAACTTTATAACACTACTTTAACCAATACAGCTCTAAAGGTGTTATGAAACTCATCTGTGAAAAACTTTTCATTGTAACTATTCTAATCAACACAGCTCTAGAGATGTCACCTTAAAGTATGAGCATCAGAACACATGTCCATATCTATAAAAACTGTCAACACAATACAGAAACAAGACATCCGATTTCTCTCTCCAATTTCAAAAATCTCTCAAGAGCCAAACATGATACTGAAATTCTTATAAAAGAAACATTATACATTAAACTCTTCTTCTGTCACTAAATAATGCAAAGTCTTCAGTGAATTTAAACCTACTTTAACCATTTCACTTGTGCCTCACATTTCATTTTCTCGTGTTATGTTTGTATATTTGAATTGTTTATTTCTCATGTATATAGCTCTAAAGATGTTATAAAAACTCAACTGTGAAAAACACTTTCCACTGTAACTAGGATAATCAACACTGCTCTAAAGATGTTATGAAACTTAACTGTGAAAAACACTTTCCACAATAACTACTACAATCAACAGTGCTCTAAAGATGTTATCAAACTTAACTGCAAAAAACACTTTCCACAATAACTATAATCAACAGTGCTCTAAAGATGTTATCAAACTTAACTGTGAAAAACACTTTCCACAGTAACTACTATAATCAACAGTGCTCTAAAGATGTTATGAAACTTAACTGTGAAAAACACTTTCCACAATAACTATAATCAACAGTGCTCTAAAGATGTTATCAAACTTAACTGTGAAAAACACTTTCCACTGTAACTACTATAATCAACACTGCTCTAAAGATGTTATGAAACTTAACTGTGAAAAACACTTTCCACTGTAACTACTATAATCAACAGTGCTCTAAAGATGTTATCAAACTTAACTGTGAAAAACACTTTCCACTGTAAATGAGCATCCCCCAGCACCTTCAAGCATCATTTCAATATTACAAACAAATGTAGATGATAAACAGTAAAAAACAAAAAAAACAGAATATTACATTTATCTTTAGTAACTGAAGTATCTAAACTTTGAACTTAGATGAAGTATAAGTACTTAAAATACACAAGGTGAAAAGCATATAGTTTACTAGAAATGGTTCAACAAATTAGAAATAGGAAAAATAAAAAATAGTGATACTCAAAAAAAAACTTGAAGGGTAAAAGGAGACATTAATGTAAAAATCTAGAAACATAAAAAAATTTCTCTTTCCTATCTTTATTTGAAATAATTCAGATTTTTATATTTTTCAAGAAAACTGTGCTTCACATTTGCTCTGACGATATTTTGTTTGTTTGTTTGAATTTCACACAAAGCTACACGAGGGCTGTGCTAGCTGTCACTAATTTAGCAATGTTAAACTAGAGGGAAAGCAGCTAGTCATCACCACCCACCGCCAACTCTTGAGCTACTCTAATAGTGGGATTAACCATCACATATAACATCCCCATGGTTGAAAGGGTGAGCATATTTGGTGGGACAGGGATTTGAACCCGTTAACCTCAGATTGGGAGTCAAGCGCCC